CTTAAACGGGGCCTGGCGGGGCCTTACAGGGCCTTACGGGGCCTTACGGGGCCTTAAACGGGGCCGTAAACGGGGCCTTACGGGGCCTTACGCAGGGGCCATGGCTGCACAGGAGTTATGCTGGCTCACCTACCTGATGATTGTCTTGGGAGAGCAGCCTCGTTCGCCTCCAGTTCTGTACGTCAACAACAAGGCCATGATTGCGTTGTGTCAGGAGCACAGACTGGAGCACAGAACGAAGCACATCGCTCTGCGATACTTCCTTGCTCGAGAGTTGCAGCAGCGTGGTCAGCTTCGTCTTGCATACGTGGCCACTAGGGCCAACACTGCTGATATATTCACCAAGGCACTTCCGCCTGGTGATCATCAGCGCTTCTCTACTATGTTGGGCCTTGTGCCTACTTTGCCTCACTTGCTCACTGCGTGACTCTGCTTGTACTGTGATCTATATATATACCTGCATGCTTTCTCTTGCTAGGCTATGATCACTGTACTGTTTGTGCTCTTTTATATAACACTGCATGTGAACTGGCCCTGTGGCCCTTTGCTTGTGCTCGGACTATGTGGTGACTTTGTGATCCACCCTGAGCTTGCTTTGCTTTTCTTGACTAGTCTTGTGACCACTTTTTCTCCCCCAATTTTCCTATGGGGGTGTGTCAGAATGTTATATTGCTTACTTTGTATAGGCTATAGTAGGGTAGCCCATAAGGGGTACAGCCCAATTAGGGTTAGTACTTGTACCCAAATTCTGTTCAATGCATTCATCCTCATTTCATTCCTTTGACAGCTAAGTGTGAGGCTTCCCGCATGTCTGACCAGCACAATCACCCGTGCGAATGACATATGGGCAGCTACCACTACCCCCAGACGCCCCACGTTGAGAAAACCACTCAAGAAGCTGCTGGGGCGAAGGGGTCTCGCTTCGACGCTGCTGCTGCTGCCTCTGGCCACCACCAGAACCTCCCCGCTGAGCAGCTCCAGCCCTACCGCCACCACTCCCACTGCCGCCACTACCGCCACCCCCACCGCTGCGACCACCGCCTCTGCCAAAGCCCCCACTCCCGCCACCACTCCCACCACCGCCACCACCTCCACTGCCTCCACCACCTCCACTGCTGCCACCACCAGCACCCCCGCTGCCACCGCCACCACCCCTGCCACCCTTGCCCTTGCTGCTACGGCGCTTCCCACTAGCAGAAGCAGCCCCGACATCCTCAGCACCAAGGACGTCAACAGCAGCAGAAGAGGCGTAGGAGGGGGCAAGGGGGGAGGGGGAACACCCCTCAAAGAAGGGCGTGCGAGGAGTGCCACGAGCGGCACCTACAGCGACTACACTAGTCTCAGCTGCAAGGAGGTGCTGCGCGAGTAGGTCAACAGTGAGGGCTGTGGGGTCAAGTGTGAGAAATTGGTCCATGAGTGTGCGAAGAGACTCAGGGAGGCGGGTGACCATAAAGTAGAGAGTGATGTACATCGGGGGCGGGTTCTTGTCAAGGAACTCTGCCGGGAGGGCAGCGCGGTAGCGAGCGTCGCTAGTGCGAAGGTGGGTAACTAGGTCCTCCACTGTGGCAAAGGCGGATAGCTCGGGAAAGAGGTAGGGCAGTAGAAGACGGCCTAGAGCAGCAGTGGCAGGCAAGGAGTAACGGGCGACTACAGCGTCGTACAGTGCCTGTGCAGTCCTGTACTGTCCGAAGTGAGCGCATTCGGCTAACGGCAGGTGGTTGCGAATGGCTAAGCGAGCAGCAGCGTCACGAGTAAGCCACTGTGAGCGAGTCGTACTGTCAACTGTGGCGGGAGGGGCGAGAGAGGCTCCAGACGTGTGGTCAAACAACGAAACGCTGTCTCTAGAGTCGCTCAGTAGGTACAGCTGTAAGTCGTCGAGCCACGTGTCGAACTGGATCGGACGGCCCTCATGGTCGAACGTGAGTACGCGGAGAGAAGCCATAGCGAGCAGAGGAGGGTGGTGCAAGCAGCAGGGCAGGCAGCAGAGGGGCGGCTAGCAGGCTGCAAGGGGAGCGGCGCGCGAGCTGCGAGAGGGCGGTGCGCTGGCTGCAAGGGGCGGCGAGCGGGCTGCCAGGGGCGGCACAGCGGGAAGCAAGTGGCGGCGAGTGGGCAGCAAATGGGCAGCGCGTGGGCCTAGGGGCGGCGGGCGGTCTGCAAGGGGCGGCGAGCGGGCTGCAAGGGGCGGCGTAGCGGGCCCCAAGTGGCGGCTAGTGGGCTGCAAGGGGCGGTGCACGGGCTGCAGGGGCGGCTAGCAGGCCGCAAGGGGCGTTGCGCGGGCTGCAGGGGCGGCGAGCGGGGCGCAAGGGGCTGCGCGCGGGCTGCAAGGGGCAGCGTAGTGGGCCACAAGTGGTGGTGAGCGAGCTGCAGGAGGGGGGGGGGGGGGGGGGGGGGGGGGTGGCTAGCGGGCCGCACTAGGGCAGCGAGCGGGCTGCAGGGGCGACGGGCGGGCCTCAGGCAAGCAGCGAGCGGGCAGCAGAGGCGGCTAGCGGGCCGTGAGCAAGGGGCGGACGGATCGCGCGGGCGGCGAGCGGGCCGCAAGGGGGGCGACACGTGGGCCTAGGGGCGGCGAGCGGGTCGTGAGGAGGGGGCGACAGGCGGGCCGCACGAGGGCAGCGAGCGGGCCAGGGGGCGGCTAGCGGGCCGCAATGGCGGCGAGCGGGCCGCAACGGGGGCTAGCGGGCGGGTCGCAAGCGGGCGACGCGCGGGCTGCAGGGGTGGCGCGCGGGCCGTTAGGGGCGGCGCGACCGTGGCTAAGGGCGACGCGACGGTAGGGGCGACGCGACGGGGCTCTAGGGCAGGGCAATGCTTGGGGCAGCTCTGTGGTGGGCCTTAAAAAAGCGGTCCTAGTGAAGGACCTGCTCTGAAACCATGTCAGAATATTGAACGAGAATGAATGAACTATGAAAGAGTTGGGTACAAGTACTAACCCTAATTGGGTTGTACCCCTTATGTGCTTGTCAGACTGTGTAGTTTGTTTAGCCTGCAGTGGGGTACTCTATAATGAGTACGGCCCCTTAGGGTTTCCTATATGTATCCACCTGCTTGCTAGTGCAATCCCTCTTTGCCTATTATTCTCATCATTTCTCATACATTTCTCACAGTGCTACCCCACTATAGCCTACACAAAATAAGCACTAAAACATTTTGACAACATGTTATGTGTCCACGTTCAGAAAACATTTGTGTCCAAAACAGCAAGCGTGGAACACAATCGCGCTTGTCGAGTGATATCTCTCAAAATTGGGGCGTTGTGGTGTTTCCCGATTCGTTGGGTGTTCGGCATAGTTGCGAAAATCGCGGTCGGTAAACGAAAATGGCCCTTTTCTCGTGAATACGATCGCGAATTGTTCGGGAATGGGCCCACGTGGAACTTCGTGCACATGACATCTCGGCGCACCTCAAGTAAAAATCTCGACATCCATTTCATTTCATCCCGACTCTGGCCGTGAACGAAAGCCAAGACCAGAGTGGTTACTCTAGTTGCATGGTAACTAGCTTAGCGAAGGAGCGACTTGTGTGATCTAAGTGCGTCCCATCCCTGTCCTCGCCCCGTTGAACCGCATTCCCCTACTACGCCTTCAGCAACTACCTGCTCTCCTTACCAAACCCTATCTCTCATTCATATCCTTTCTCGTGTCAAGCTCGATATTGGGGATTACGTTCGAGTGCATCAGAATAGCAGGGCAGGTTCCAGTGTGTTTGCACATCCCAACTTCACGCGCTGCCGAACCAGCAGCTCAGAAATCTCACGGAATTCCATGTGATTTTTCTTCTACTCTATTGATTAGTTTCCTAGGGAGAGTGTTAACTGTTCAATCGCATGACATTGCTTTTGTGTCTTCGCGTTGTCCCGCTGTCTTCCGCAACGAGTAATGATGTTCGTCCTGGTCTCTCTTCCTCCCTTGTATTTATCGATGCATCCAAGTCAAATTTATGTTCTTGCTTTATCTAGCCTATGAGGGAGGGCGGGAAGGACGGTTTGTGTTTGCAATATGTCACGCACGCCGTCGATCTGGTTTAGATGGATGGCTAGTGGAGGGAGCTTTGGACTGTATCGGATGGGAGCTTTGGATCATATACGGAGGGAGCGTTGGACTTCACATGGAGGGAGCATTGGACCTTATATGGAGGGAGCTTGGATCATAAGTGGAAGGAGCTTAAGGAGGGAGCTACAAGGAGGGGGTCTTCGAACCGTCTTCCATGTGGTCTGAACCCTCCCTTGCTACTCCCCTCCCCTGACGAGCATATTACTTTCGTTAGGGCGAGATATAAGCTATGTAATGCAATTCGATTGTCTAGCATACAAAAGCGAAGGGGACCCGTGTGTCTAGCGTACGTTGATCAGAGCTTGGAAAGCGAAGCAAGCGGAAATGGCTCGTGTGTTGTCTGGCATCGAGTTGTCGTGTGGATCAATGTCGGCAGTTGGGTTAGCCATACAGCGGTAGGCGTAAGGGGAAAAGCAGTGCGCCTCTATATCCTGCAGCGGGCCGTCATAGCGTATGCCTCGTATTAGGATACGAGGTTGTGAATAAGATCTTGAAGTTCTGAGTATGTAGTGTAAGGGTTCTTGAAAATGATTTGAGATCGCAAGTTCTTGTGACCATATAAGGGTATTTTAGAAGGATACGAGATCGTACGTATGATGACGTAAGGGTAAATGGACCTGAGGTAGCAAAACGGTATGAGGAGATAAGGGTCTTAAGTTAAGTGCCTAGGTCTATCCGAGATGTTTCACCTTGTTCATAAAAAGTCCTTCCCCTCTTCGCCCCTTTCCAATACCGGTGGTGACCCTGGCTTGAACGGGAACAAAGAGATTGCATGAGATCCATGATACGTATAGCAGTTCCGAACAACCCTATACGGCTTTCTATTTTTCCCTGAAAGGCTTGCATGTTGACTAATTCCATTGTCTCGTCCCATTCACTTCCCTCCGTCTCATATCTGGCCAGAATCCGTGGTGCCACTGACAACCGTCGGATCGACCGTGCATGTCAAGCAGCATGAGCGGGCGGTCGTACTGCACGGTGTATGTGGGCAACCTGCCCGGCGACACGCGCGAGAGCGAAGTAGAGGACCTTTTCGCCAAGGTGCGGGGACTTCGGGTATAGTCGGATGTAGTTATAACGGTAATAGGTGGATATGCTTGTAACGGGTTGCATGGTTACGTGATATGCTACACTTTTCCGGACGCACGACTAAGAATACTCCTAGCACTTTCCGTTGTGGTGGTTCAATCCTTCTCGTTGTCGTTTGAGTGCTCGTGTGTGTATCTTGAACCGCGTGCTATCCTCGTTGTGTTTGCCCTCGTTACCGTGTCTTTTCCTTGTGCAGTACGGCAAGATCCTCGACATTGAGCTCAAGCTCCCGCCTCGGCCCCCCGGCTTCGCGTTCGTGGAGGTGAGCAGGAGAGTCGGTCTGGCTGCCATTCACCTCACCTTGCCATTCACTTTTGAGGGCGGAAGTGCATGGGATCGTGGTTGGGAGCGGGAGCGGGAGTAAGAGTGGGAGCATGAGCGAGAACAGGAGTGGGAGCATGGGATGAACTGTTCGCGCGTGTTTGAAGTCAATGAGCGCTCCCCCCCTCCATCCTTCACCCTCTACTTCCCCCCACCTACCCCGCCCGCACTCTTCTACCTCTTCCCCTTGCTCCCCCCCCTCTGCCCTTTTCCATCCCTTCCTTTCTTTCCCGCCCCATGTAACACTTCCTCCCCCCCCCCCCCCCCCCCCCGTTACCATATGTTTTGGCGACACTTCGCCAGTTCGCGGGCGAGACGAGTACGACTTCGACAGGAACCGCTTGCGCGCGGAGCTGGCTTCCTCCCCACCCCTTCCCTCATTCCCCTTTCCACCTTCCATCACCCCCTTCCGCCTTCCCCCTTTCCCCTTTTCCCTACCTCCTTCTGTTAGCCTTTACCCAATCGCCCCGTGTAACCCTGTCCCTCCCCGTTACAATCCAGTCCCCTCTTCGCCACACTTCGCGAATCCCCAGTTCGCGGACCCAAGGGACGGGGAGGACGCCGTCCGCGGGCGCGATGGGTACGACTTCGACGAGAACTGCCTGCGCGTGGAGCTTGCACACGGCGGCCGCGAAGGGGGCGGCGGGTTTGGGGGCGGCCGAGGGAGGGGGGGGGACTTTCCAGCGGAGGCGGTCGCGCCGAACAAAGTACCGCGGTGAGTTGGTTGTGTTGTGTGAGGTGCTTGCTTGCTGTCTTATCCCATTCTTTCTCAAATTTGCTTGGTCAACTAGTCAGCCAAACGTCAGTTCGACAGACAATGCCTTCCGAGCCGTTCGATCCGTATTCAACCGAGATCTGCGGTTTTCACGTTACGTCAAGACTCGAACGTAGAAGGGGACCTTATTCAGAAGGTGGGAGAGTGTATTGAATATACGATTCATTACTGTAGAGCTGCCCTTAGTGTCAGTAGATCTGCACTGTGGATGCCCGATTGATTCTAGGGGGGTTACAGGTGCGTTCGCTTGGGGGGTTATGGGCGCACAAACCCGCTACACAAACAAGCCCTTTTATCCCAATGGTCTAAGTGGTTGGGATTCTGACACTTAGCGAGGACAGCCCCGAGCACTTCGCGTTTGTGTGGCTCGGCCTACACTTTCGCACTGAACCAGTTCCGAGTCGTCCCGCACCAATCACGACACATCCAACCCTCGCACGTCACGAGGCTCTCGCCTAGCTAGTTTTCGCCCTATATATTCTAGCTTTCTTCATTGTTTCGTCATTCTGTAATCACATTTTTTATAAAGTCTTCCGCGCACTCTGTTTAGTACAAATCATAACAGCCATGCTCATTATTATTTTTTAGAACAGCATTTCATATGGACATGGAGTCTAGGATCGAGGCCCTAGCATTTCGTTTTTGGGAGGTTCAGGACGTGTCTCAATTCGATGGGTCCTTAAGTCCACCCCCACCTGGTCCGCTCTTGGAAGTGTTGTTCCCCAAATACCAAGGGCTGGTCCTCTGGACCAGGTTGGACCGAACTGGCGACCAGCTTCGGACGATGTGATGCGGGGTCCGCTGATGTAATCTACAGCGCGTGCAGGCGAGAATACTGTACATTTTGCCCAACACTAGGTTACTGCTCGTGAGGGCTTCCTGTCATTGGGCAATCCATAAACGCGCGCTGCCAGTTTTGCGAAAACCGTGGGGTGAGTTCGCAAGTACTCGAAATAAACTGACTGTTCAGGAGTCCGACGTGGACCAGCTCGCCGAACCAGACAAACCTCTCCAATACAGTCCTTTTCCGCCGTTAGTACGCCCGGGTCCACGCTCGGGTCCATAGTACCAGTGTGGACTGACGATTTTGAGAACCCTCACTAAAAACCATCTCACCAAACCCTAGCTCTCATTTCTGTCTCATACTCAGCCTCGTACAGCATTTCCAGTGCGTGAGGATCACCAGGGAGGCTCCAGTGCATCTGCCGACGAAAAGCTTCGCAACGCAGAACGCTTGTCGAATTTCAGGTGATTTCTTTTCTTTCCTTTTGTTGATTAGATTTCTGGGGAGCGTGTTAATGGATTTATTTCGTTCCGTTGTCCTGCTGTTTTACGCAAAGAATGATGCTGCTCATCTTCTTCTCCTTTCCTCGCTTGCACTTACTGATGCATCAGAGTCAAATACCTATTCTTGCTCTATCTAGCTATGAGGGAGGGCGGGAAGGACGGTTTGTGTTTGCAATATGTCACGCACGCCGTCGATCTGGTTCAGATGGACGGCTAGTGGAGGGCTTTGGACTATATCGGACGGGAGCTTTGGATCTTATGCGGAGGGAGCATTGCATCTTACATGGAGGGAGCTTTGGATCTTATATGGAGGGAGCATTGGACCTTATATGGAGGGAGCATTGGAATGGAGGGAGCTTAAGGAGGGAGCTTTAAGGAGGGGGCCTTCGAGCCGTCTTCCATGCGGTCTGAACCCTCCCTTGCTACTTCCCGCAAGAACTTGTCGTTTTTTTCTCAGGACAATGAATGCTCTATTTTTATGCTACGGTCCATGTCTAGCGCATGTCAGTCGGTGTCTAGCGTATGCGACCCGTGTCTACCTTATGTCTAGCCATAGGTTAGAAAGCGAAGCAAGCGTGACTAGCTCGTTCGTCGTCTGTCGTCGTACGGTGTGTAGATCATCTACGGAAGCTGGGCTAGTTACCCCGGGGAAGCTGGGCTAGTTACCCTTGGGAAGCTGGGTAGGGGGGGCACATACGAGCTTGTATCCAGCAGCGGAGTGTAGGATCAGGCTGCTCTTCTACAGATCTGTGGTTCCGGAACGTAGAACGCAGCGCAATTATCATACGTAGGGATCTTACACATGCGCTGCCGAATGGAAGGGTGAAGAGGGTCTTATATTCGATGCCTGACCATCCCTGCGGTCCTTTCACCCTTGGCCTTTTTTCGGCCTCCCCCCTATCGCCGCGTTGTCCCTTTGTCGTCTTGGTGCGTTTCTGGCATGAAGGTGACGGCATGATGACGATTGCATGATGCGCAGTGCAGGTCCAATCAACCTGTACAATCTTACATGCGATTTAATTCCCGTTTCCGTCCTTTCAATTCCCATCCGGCTCAGATTCGAACAGAATTCGTGGTGTTACCGACGACCATCGGATCGACCGTGCATGTCGAGCAGCATGAGCGGGCGGTCGCACCGCACGGTGTATGTGGGCAACCTGCCTGGCGACACGCGCGAGAGCGAAGTGGAGGACCTTTTCGCCAAGGTGCGGAGCTTTCGGGTGTAGTCGGATGTTATTATAACAGGAGTGGGTGAATATGCCTGTAACGGGTTGCACGGTTGGGGTCCGTCGTACGGTGTATGTGGGTAACCTGCCCGGCGACACGCGCGAGAGCGAAGTGGAGGACCTTTTCGCCAAGGTGCGGAGCTTTCGGGTGTAGTCGGATGTTATTATAACAGGAGTGGGTGAATATGCTTGTAACGGGTTGCACGGTTGGGGTCCGTCGTACGGTGTATGTGGGTAACCTGCCCGGCGACACACGCGAGAGCGAAGTGGAGGACCTTTTCGCCAAGGTGCGGGGCTCGTGGGGGTAGCCGGATGTACTTATATCGGGAATATCTGGATGTGCTTGTAACGGATTGCATGGTTGCATGATGTGTACATTTTTCTGGACGCACGTCGGAGGATGTTGCTTGTATTTTCCCTTGTCCTTCGATCCTCGTTGTTGTCGTTTGAATGCTCGTGTCCAATCTTGAACCGCTTGCCATCCTCGTTGTGTTTGTTTGCCTCTCGTTACCGTGTGCAGTACGGCAAGATCCTCGATATTGAGCTCAAGCTCCCGCCCCGGCCCCCTGGCTTCGCGTTCGTGGAGGTGAGCGGGAGAGTCGGACTGGCTGCCATTCGCCTCACCTTGTACTTCGCTTTTGAGAGCGGGAGTGCATGGGATCGTGGTTGGGAGCGGGAGCGGGAGCGGGAGCGGGAGTAGGAGCGTAAGCGGGAGTGGGAGTGAGAGCATGGGATGAACTGTTCGTGTGTGTGTAAATCAACCCGCGCTTCCACCCTTCACCCTCTTCTCCCCCCCACCTCCCCCGCCCGCGCTCGTCTACCTCTTCTCCCCGCTCCCCTCTCCCCGCCCTTCCCCATCCCTCCCTTTCTTTCCCGCCCCGTGCGACCCTGTTGCTCCCCGTTACCATCTCCCGTTCGCCACACTTCGCCACCTTTCGCCAGTTCGCGGACCCGCGGGACGCGGAGGACGCCATTCGCGGGCGCGACGGGTACGACTTTGACGGGAACCGCCTGCGCGTGGAGCTCGCGCATGGCGGGCGCGGAGCAGGGGGCGGGTTCGGGGGGGGGCGGGGGGGGGACTTCCAGCGCGGACCGTCGCGGCGAACCGAGTACCGCGGTGAGCTGGTTGTGCGGAGTGAGGTGCTTGCTAGCATTTTGCATTCCCTGTTTCACCCCATCTCCCCAGCCCCCCTTTTTCCCCACACTCTCCCATCAGCCCGCCACATCTTCTCTCCTTACTTTCTTCCTCTGAAAATGTATCCCCTTCCGTTCCCAGCTCGCTCCCCCTCCCTCGCCCTCCGCCCCACCCATCCCCCCTCTCCCCTTCCATCCTTCTCTCCTTAGTGATTTCGCCAGTTCGACTCTGCTTTAAGTTTTTTGACTCCACCTCAGAATCGGCCATTGTCAGATTCTCCAGTCTTTAGGCTCCCTATAAGACAGACTCTACCATTGGCGAATGCTTGAGTCGTGTCGTCTAGCTGGGGGCCTGGGACTCTCTTGGACTATCCCATGCTCTTCTCAGATTCACATGTTCTGTAGTTGATACGGTCAGGCTGTTGAATTCATGCCGAATCGGTTAGCTTGCGCATTCTTTTTGCCATTTTGTGTTCCTTTACTGTGCTTGGTTGTAGCTTGTGCTTATAACGGGCACTTGTAACGAATGCCTGTTGTGTGCTTGTACTGTGTATCCTCTCCTTGCTGCAGTCATTGTGAAAAATCTCCCCACCTCCGCTTCCTGGCAAGATCTCAAGGTGGGCGCTGGCACCCCTCGCACACCCCTTGCATGCCCTCGCATCCCCTCGCATGCTCTCGGGCTCCTCTCCTGTGTCGCCCGCACTTCCCCTCTCTCCCTCTCCCTCCCCAATGTTGCAGTACACGCCTCTACTGTCTCAACTTCCTCTCTCACCCGTTTGCAACCTTTCCGCCCCTCGTCCGCCTGTCCCTTTGTGCATCAACTGAAATGTTGCCTGTCCTGCTTATTGCAAACCCGCGTTTCTCCTCCTTCATTCTCGCCATTCTCCCTCCATTCCTCTTCTCCCCCTCCCCTCCCCCCACCCCTCCCCCTTTTCCTCCTTACCCCTTTCATGCCTTCCTCGCTATCCCCCCCCTCCACCCCCACCCCCACCCCTTTCCCTCTTCCCCGTCACCCTCTCTGTGCCCAATCCGCAGGACCACATGCGGCGGGCGGGCGACGTGTGTTTTGCGCAGGTCTTCAAGGAGAGGGACGGTAAGCATGGGTGGGCATGGGTGGGCAACGGGGGGTCATGGGTGGGCAACGGTACGCATGGGTGGACAACGGTGGGTCAAGATGCTGGGATAAGGTGGGAAGGTTGGATGTTGGGTGAAGGGGGAAAGGGTGGATGTTGGGTGAAGGGGGGAAGGGTGGATGTTGGGTGAAGGGGGGAAGGGTGGATGTTGGATGAAGGGGGGAAGGGTGGATGTTGGGTGAAGGGGGGAAGGGTGGATGTTGGGTGAAGGGGGGAAGGGTGGATGTTGGGTGAAGGGGGGAAGGGTGGATGCTGGGTGAAGGGGGGAAGGGTGGATGTTGGGTGAAGGGGGGAAGGGTGGATGTTGGGTGAAGGGGGGAAGGGTGGATGTTGGGTGAAGGGGGGAAGGGTGGATGTTGGGTGAAGGGGGGAAGGTGGATGTTGGGTGAAGGGGGGAAGGTGGATGTTGGGTGAATCCGTCCATCCGTCCATCCATCCGTCCGCCCGTCCGTCCGTCCGTCCCTCCCTCTCTCCCTCCCTCGGATGCATGCACGATGGGCATAGTGGATGCACGACAGCAACGAGGAGGACATGCAGTGAAGTTTGATGCCTCGCTTTGACCCCGTTCGCTTTGACCCCTTGCTCTATCCATCTTTTCTCACAACCCGTGGCCACTCCCTCCTTCCATCCTCACCCACCCCCTCTTCCCCCCCTGGCGCAGGCATGATGGGCATAGTGGACTACAGCAACGAGGAGGACATGAGCTGAAGTGTGATGCCTCCATCCGCCTCACAGCCCCTGCGTCCGCCCTGCCTTCCCTCCCTCCCTCTGCCCCTTCCCCGCACAGGCATGATGGGTTTAGTGGACTACAGCAATGAGGAGGACATGCAATGCAGCATAGTTTGATGCGTCTATCCCGCTCGCAAACTCATGCGCCACTCCCTCCTTCCCTCCCTCCCCCCCCACCCCCACCCACCCACCCACCCCGCCCCCCCCCCCCCCCCCCCCCCCCCCCCTCTTCCGCGCAGGCATGATGGGCATAGTGGACTACAGCAACGAGGAGGACATGAAGTATGCGGTGAGTCAGGCAGCTGGGTGGGTGCAGTGCGGTGAGTCAGGCAGCTGGGTGGGTCAGGCAGCAGGTGGGTCAGGCAGCTGGGTGGGTGGGCGGGGCAACACTGGAGGGACCAAGTCAGTCAGGTCGCTGGGGTGTGATGTTATCATGGGAGTCAAGGCAACTGCTGCTTGGGAGGGACGTGGCAACACGGGGGTGAGTCACCAGATATGGGCACGTTTGGCCATCACTAGCTATCACCCTGCCAGGAATTCCCCTCCATGCCAGTGTGTCCATCCGTCACTCCGTCCCCTCTACTCATCTCACGATTTTCACAACTGCTCCCCCCCGCAGCCCGCCTGCGCACTCACCCCTCTTTACACAGCGGATCATGGCAGCATAGTGACTTGGAATGCATAGGGGATCAAGAGAGAATCATAATTGGTGGTCAAACCCTGTACCGATCTTTCCTTGACATGGGTATTCATGGCCCCTCCTCCCTCCGCTCTCCCCTCGCCCTCCTCCCTCCTATCTCCCCTCTTCCCTCATCCCTCCCCCTCGCTCTCCCCTCGCCCTCCTCCCTCCTCCCTCCTCCCCCCCCTCTCCCTGTACTTCCCTCCACAGATCCGCAAGCTAGACGACTCTGAGTTCAAGAACCAGGTGACTCTTCAGTCAACTCAAAATCCTTTCCCCTTCACCTCTCCCTCATCCCTCCCCCTCTGCCTCCCCACACCAGATCCGCAAGCTGGACGACTCTGAGTTCAAAAACCCTTTCTCCTGTGGCTGCTACATTCGAGTGACCCCTCCCCTCAATACCTCCCCACTTACCTCCCCCCCTACCTCCACCTCTCCCTCATCCCTCCCCTGCACCTCCCCACGCCAGGTGCGCAAGCTAGACGACTCCGAGTTCAAGAACCCCTTCTCTCTGCTCGCCCTCCTTACCCCCCCTTCCCACCCCTTCCCACCCCTTCCCACCCCCCCTCCCCACACCAGGTGCGCAAGCTAGACGACTCTGAGTTCAAAAGCCCCTTCTCCCGCGGCTGCTTCTGAGTCGACTCAAAAGTCCCTCCCCTCCCCCCGTACCTCCCCCCGCCACACCAGATCCGCAAGCTAGACGACTCTGAGTTCAAAAACCCCTTTTCCCGCGGCGTCTACATTCGAGTGAGTCTCGAATCCGCGCCCTCTCCTTTCCAGCTCCATTCATAACCCTGTGAGATGGTTGAGTGAAAGAAAACCTCAGGAACCTCCCCCCCCACACCACCTCACAGTTTCCTTTTCCTTGCTGTAATGTTTTTACTCGTTTCCTGTGCCAGTCCGGAACCTGCACTCATTCAATTGCGCCACCAACCTGTTATGCTTTTCGAATGAACACTCCATACACACGACCACTCTCGTTCGTTGCACAAGCCCCCTACGTCACACAGATGCTCTCTAACCCACATGCACCGCACTGCACCCCCCTTCCTCCTGCCGTTCCCATGCTTCAACATTCAACAGACCAGCACATTGTTTTTGGTTGTAATTCTTGGTCCGCACCTTTCGTGCCATTCTCTCGCATGCCTAATCGCATCAGGTGCGTGAGGAGAGCGAGACGGGCCGTGACCGCAGCCGGTCACCCCTTCACCTATTTTTCTATACCTCTCTTTCCACCCCTTCACCTATTTTTCTATACCTCTCTTTCCACCCCTTCACCTATTTTTCTATACCTCTCTTTCCACCCCTTTCTCATGCCTGCTCTCATCAGGTGCGTGAGGAGAGCAAGACGGGTCGCGACCACAGCCGGTCATTCCTTCCTTCCTCCTCTCTTTCATCTTATCTGCTCTGCTGTACCTCTCTTTCCCACCCTCTCTCATGACGGTCTCATCAGGTGCGTGAGGAGAGCAAGACGGGTCGCGACCGCAGCCGGTCACCTCGTCGCCGTGAGCGGTCCCGGTCCCGCTCACGCTCGCGCTCCCGCTCTGCCTCTGGTTCGCGCTCTCGCTCCCGCTCCAAGTCCAAGTCGCGCTCGCGATCGGTACGTTAAGTCACATGCCACCTCGTCGCACTCCCGCTCTGCCTTGGGCTCACGCTCCCAGTCCCGCTCCAAGTCCAAATTGCACTCGCCAAGAGTACGTTTAGATCAAGAGTGTGGCTACAGAGAGGTGCTCCTTGCTCCTGATTCCACTCCTGTTCACGCTCTCGTTCGCGCTCGCGCACTGCCTCGGTTCGCGCTCCCGCTCTGCCTCGGGCTCCAAATCCAAGTTGTGTTCGTGCGCGGTATGTCAAGTCACATGCCCCTACGACGCCCTTGTCTTTCCTAATGTATCCGTCGCACGCCCTCTGATCATATATATGAAGTCTTACTCACCCTCGTCTCGTCGGCCCTTCCTGCAGCGCAAGAAGTGTGGTTCCAAGTCTCCCTCTCACTCCTCCCGTTCATAAGTTCAAGACCGAGTATCCCTCGTCACATCGCCCCTCGTCTCACCCCCCCCCCCCCGTCCTCCTCCCCCCCCCCCACCCCACCCCTCCCTCTGCAGCCCAAGAAGAGTGGTTCCAAGTCGCCCTCTCGCTCGCGCTCTCGATCCAAGTCCCCTGCCAAGTCCCCTGAGCGTGCTCGCTCTCCTGTGAGCCCTCCTTCCCCTCCCTTGCCGTGCTCTGCTTGATTCGCCTCTCGATCCAAGTCTCCTGCCAAGTCCCTTGACCGTGCTCACTCTCCTGTGAGCCCTCCTTCCCCCCTCTTGCCTTTCTCTCCTTGTGTCCTCTCTCGATCCAAGTCTCCCGCCAAGTCTCCTGAGCGAGCTCGCTCTCCTGTAAGACATTGTTCCCTTACCTTGCCTTGCTCTCCTCGCTCCCGCTCTCGCTCTCGCTCCTGTTCTCGATCCAAGTCTCCCGCCAAGTCCCCTGAGCGAGCTCTCTCTCCTGTAAGACATTGTTCCCTTCCCTTGCCTTGCTCTCCTCGCTCCCGCTCTCGCTCCTGTTCTCGATCCAAGTCCCCTGAGCGAGCTCGCTCTCCTGTGAGAAATCGTCCCCTTCCCTTGCCTCTCACACTCTCTCTCTCCCCCCCAATCCCTCTCCATCCCCCTCCCCCCCCCCCCCCCCCTCCCTCCCGACCCCGCTCCTTCACCCCCCCTCTATCCCATCCCACCGTTTCTCATCTCGTGGAGGGTCCATTCATTGCTGATGTGTCGATCCATGCACGCTTGTGTATTTACGTGATGCCCAGGCATGCACGTTCATCCCTCACCGACTGTTTCTTTTTTCCGCTATCATCAATGCCGTGCGCATGTTAGCGCTGAATGATCCACTCCCTCACCTCTCATTCATCCCTCGCCTCTTATTTTTCTTTCAGGCTGGCAGCGATGGAAAGGCAGCATCGGGCTGAGTGATTCTACTTGAGAATGCTGGACGTCATTCAGCCCGCGTGGTTGAGTGTGATGAGTTTCAGAGTGCTGACTACTGCGTTTGATTTTCTGGAAGAACGTGCATTTCTGGGAGCTTGAAATGAGGATCCTCCTACATTTCCTGGACATCTGGCACCTGATTCTGGAAATTTGTTTGTAATGCTGGTACGATATCGCTAATTTGATGCAGCTTTTGAGGACCAAACACAAGACAAAGCTGTACTTCCAAAGATCATGTTACTACTGTATGAACAACCAGGGGTGGTGTTACAGGTGCAATGAATCGAGGTAGCGAGGATTGCACTGAGTGTTCAATGAGTACAAAATATGTGCAAAGGCATGAGCGAATACTTATACGCGAAAATGTGCAAACGGTAATGCGGTGCGTGCGAGCTAGCTAGTGCTACGCTGGCGCGAGGTTCGGGCGGGCTAGTCCCGTAGTCCCGAAGCGTAGGCCGACTTGGCTGCTCCAGTAGTGCGAGCAGGCCCCACGATATCAGGGTAAAAAATCCTGATTACCAGGCCCTCAGATTCACTTTAAGGGACGTTGATGCATCAGGGTCCCTGTGAACAAAACCCTGATTTTCAGTGTTCCTAAAAAAAAAACCCTGAATTTTCAGGGTTCCTAAAAAACAAAGCCTGAATTTTCAAGCAAATGAAAACCTTGCATAAGGGTAGGCTTTACGAAACATGACAGCAGAGGGATTCGAACCGGGCCCTTACCCGTCTGTAGAAAATCACAAACCACTGAGACAGTTGATCCACTAAACCTTCAATCTCTTACGTTGTCGTACGTGAAAAATCAGAAAATGTTGGTTGACAGGAAGGATTTGGAATGTGCATTCAGTGTACACTTCGATAAAAGACTGAAAAATCAGTGTCAACTATGAAATAAAGGCTGAAAAATCAGTGTCACAAAATTCTCAACACTGAAAAATCAGTGTAGGTACAAAAAAATCCCTGAAAATCAGGAATTTCAGGGAAAACTTCCTGATATCGTAGGGCCTGCTGATTACCCTGATTTCAGGATACCGTATCACCCCGAATAGAAGCGCAGGCCTATTATAAGCGCATGTGTCAGAATGTTATTCTCTAGCCTGTAGTGGGGTGCTCTATAGCGAGTACAACCCATCTAGGGTTTGCTATATGTATCCTCATTGCTGCTAGTGAACCCCCTCTCTCTTTTGCCTAAACTGTTTCTTGCCTAGCTAGGACTTACCTAGCTATGGCTCCTAACTCTACACACTATCTTCACATGGAATCAGAGCACATACGCTCCTGGCCTGTGGGCCCTCCTACTGCTTCCGCTGCCCTACGCTGTGTTGCGCGCCCCGTGGTGCGCGGCCTCTTATTTTTCATCCCGCCGCGCGCTCGGGGCGCGCGGCGGTTTTCTGCCCGCCGTGCGCCCCGAGGCGCGCGGCGGTTTACTGCTGTGGGGGAGCCAGCGCGCGCCCCGCCCGTCCGTCGCGGAGCCCTGGGGAGCACGCGCGGCCCCCCACCCTGCCCATCGCAGCGCGCTGGGGAGCCCGCGAGCCCCCCGTCCGTCCGTCGCGACGCCCTCGGGAGCCCGCGAGCGCCCCGCCCGTCGATCGCGACGCACTGGGGAGCCAGCGGGCGCCCTGCGTGGTCGTCGCGACGCCCTGGGGAGGCCGCGCGCGCCCCGTCAGCTCGTCGCGGCGCCCTCGGGAGGCCGCGCGCGCCCCGCCAGGCCGTCGCGGCGCCCTGGGGAGCCGCGCGCGCGTCCCCCCCGCCCGTCCGTCGCAGCGCCCAGGGGAGCAGCGCGCGCCACGCCCCTTCCCTCGCCCCACCCGTCCGTTCTGGCGCCCTAGAGGCGCGCGCCTTCCCCCCCCTCTCCGTCCCCCGCGCTCCTGCCCCTATCCCACCCGTTTTAGGGTTTGGGGGTGAGGAGTGTGGGGGTGGTGGTTGTGGGGGTGTCCGTTGTGCGCGCCGTGCCCTTCTCCTCCTCCTCCTTTGTCTCCCACTGCTGCAGCTGTCGCTGAGGGGGGTGGATGAGTGGGAGACTGGGGTTTAGGGTTTTAGGGGGGTGCGTGGGAGTGGAGCTAGGGTTTGAGCAGTGGGTGTGTGTCGAGGGTGTGGGGCAGTTGGAGGAGGTTGTGTGGAGGTACCTGTCGTGTCGCCTGCAGCGCCTGTAGTCCGTCGCCCTTGCTTCGGTAGCCAGTGAGCCTGCTGCACCAGTCGCCAGTGGGTCCGTTGCTCCTGCCGCTCTTCTATAGCCGCCGGGCCAGTTACTCCAGTAGTCCGTCGCCCTTGCTTCGGTAGCCTCTGAGTCAGCCGCTCCTGTGCCCGTGCCTCTGCAGCTTCAGTCGTTGCCTCCCATCTTCTCTACCTCCACAGCTCCTCCTCCTCCTCACTTGCCCGCTGTGATTAGCTCTAGCTTTGCTTACCTTTGTGAACTCCTGCTCTTTTCCTGCTTGCTCATTGTACTGATTACACCCCACTTTGGCTATGGGGGTGTGTCAGAATGTTATTCTCTAGCCTGTAGTGGGGTGCTCTATAGCGAGTACAACCCATCTAGGGTTTGCTATATGTATCCTCATTGCTGCTAGTGAACCCCCTCTCTCTTTTGCCTAAACTGTTTCTTGCCTAGCTAGGACTTACCTAGCTATGGCTCCTAACTCTACACACTATCTTCACAGCATGCGCTTCTATATGGAGCAATGCGCTTATGGCCGATCCTCAATTATAAGCGCACCCCCTGTGAAAACGTTACTTATTATAAGCGCATGTACAATTTTAAATTAAAATTTCTGTTCGAAACGGTAGCGAGTTTCAATTTTGAAGCGAGTACAATCTCATTTTCGCTGAGTTTGACCCTCAAAGACCTGACTGGCTGCGCGTCCAGTCAGGATGTGCAAGCATGACTGCAAAGTGTCGCATCTTGGCCCCTGTGTGCTGGAAGATGTCAAACATATGTTTATATGTTATAGTTTAGGTAGGCTTTAGTGGGGTACTCACTGTGGGGTACAACCCCTTAGGTTTTTCCTTTTGTACCAAATTCTCGATAGTCCAATCTCACCTTGCCTAAGATTCTAACATGGCATTTAGAGCATAGGTCCTTAGGACCTAGGATTAGGGCCCACCGTTCACTATTTCACCTCACTAAAACGTACCTGCCTTGCCTAGTGCCCGCGCGCGCCTCGGCTGCACGCGCGTGGCCCTCTTTTTTTTTTTTTCCCGCGCGCGCCTCTTTAGCAGCCCGCGCGACTCGTTTAGGCCCCGCCCGCGCAGCCCGTTTCGGCCCCGCCCGTGCGCCCCTTACGCCGCCCGCGCGCAGCCTGCTTAGGCCACGCCCGCGCAGCCCGTCGCCGCACGCAGCCGCGCGCGCTGCCAGTCGCCACGCGCAGCCAGGAGCCGCGCGCAGCCCGTCGCCACACGCAGCCAGGACCCGCGTGCAGCACGTCGCCGCGCGCAGCCAGCAGCCGCGCGCAGCCCTCAGCCGCACGCAGCCAGCAGCCGCGCGTGCCCTGCTCGTGTGCCTGCCTGTGCGGCTCGCTGCTGCCGAGCCCGCTGCCTTAGAATTGCACGGCCTGCTACTGTCTAGAGCGCCACCTTAGGAGCTCGAGTGCGGCAAGCTACTGCCCAGCACGTTGCCTGTGTTGCCTGCTGCCTACTACCTCTGTCTTAGCCTGCGGTCTACTGCCTGCTGCCTCCTGTCTACTGCCTGCTGTCTCTGTCTTTGCTTGCGGCCTACTGTCTACTGCCCCCTGTCTGCTGCCTACTTCCTGCTGCCTTTGCCTGCTGCCGTTATGACGATGCCTAATGTTCTCGCGTTCGAGCCTGACGGTCGCCCCATAGAGTTCGCTGTGTGGCTTGACGACCTGCAACTGTTCCTTCTGACTGATGCCAAAGAGGGTGTCTCACTGTTCGATTACGTGTCTGGCACTGCCGTTGCCCCTGCTGCCGATGCTCCTGCTCTCGAACACTCACAGTGGCAGACTCGCGATGCTGCAGCACGCCTAACTATTAGGAACCATCTGCCGATTCCTGAGCGCGCTCATTTCAGCCAGCACAAAACTGCTAAGACACTGTACGACGCTGTAGTTGCGCGCTACTCCTCCCCGGCCACTGCAGCCATAGGTCGGCTCATGCTACCCTACCTGTTCCCCGACCTTTGCTCGTTCACCACTGCTGATGACCTCATTTCTCACCTGTGCGCTACCGACACTCGCTTTCGTGCCGCCCTTTCAGCCGAGTTCTGCGCCGCAACCCCCCCCCCCGCCCCCCCCGATCTACTTCACTCT